GTACTACAGGCAGATCATCATTCATTCCATTCGAGTGAAGCATATTCACTTGATATACCATACCATGCTAATACCAATAATGTCTTACGCAAAGGCTGTTGTATCCAACACAAAACGTCCTTTTAAGGACTAAGAACTTGAGATGCTGAACCACCTTCGGGAGGTTCTAGCTTCTCTACCGCCACAGCTCCGGCGAGCACTGCTTGCTGACCGTGGCGAAGGTGAGTATGAGGGATCGGATGGAAGGCAGGGCCGTGTACTTGCCTGTGGAACAGACGACTCTCCAAGGGGCGAGGAGAAGTCAGTAGAAGGGCAGGGCCGTGTACCTGCCAGTCAGTTGGAAGACTCTCCAAGGGGCGAGGAGAAGTCAGTAGAAGGGCAGGGCCGTGTACCTGCCAGTCAGTTGGAAGACTGGCTTACAATGGAACATGAGAAAAATAAACCAAATCCTGTTTAACCATCAAAATACAAACAATCTAAATAGTGACGCAGTCACACCAGTCTCCAATTGAATAGATTTAGCTTGCATTTGTGAGAACGTGACTGAAACACTAGTAAATGTGCTAGAAACCGCATGCCCCCCCCCCTCCAGAAAAAAATACGGTAAGCAAGGTCAACCTAAAGCTTATAAAACTCAAAAGAAAAGACGCGTAGCTTAAACCAAAAAAGGACCTTTTTACAAATGTATAACTATATATAAGAAAAGCAAAAAGCTTTGGAAACCGCTACCTCCATGCTAAACGAAAGAAAAATTAACAAAACTTCTGGGCCACGTTTAAGAGTAACTAGCATCGGCAAAGCTAAAGAAACATCCGAAAACCCTGTATTTAGCGAAAAATTAAAGAAAAATGGGCGGCTTACAACAAATAATTTGAACAAAGCAAATGCATTTGCAAATGCCCTTGCCAAGTTACATTACACCCAAAAGGGATTCATATTCGATGATAAATTCAAAGTTGTGGTTGAAAACTACGTCGCTAAAAACAAACAAAATCGACTCCTTATCCAGCCCGACACCGAATATTGAATAAATATCAAGCAGACTATTTTTTCTGGGCACTGAAAAATATAATATTAAGCAAATCAGGCCATCATGCAAAAATGCTCCTGTCCCGTAAAGAGATAGAGACAAATTTAGAGAAAACCAAAAACGGGAGATGATGGGGTGAACAACGCCATCATCAAGATTTTACCTTTAAAAACTAAAAGTGAGGCTATGCAATATCTTCAATACCTGTCTAATAATTGGATACTTCCCTCCAAAGTGGAAGCAGCTGGCCATTGGAGTCATGCTTGCCAAACCAGGAAAAGACTTGAAAATAGCAACTAATATTATGGACCAATCAATGTCTTAGTAGGACAGCCTACTAAGCTGTCTTGGCAAGCTACTCGAAAAGATCATAGCCACCAGACTGAAAAACAAACTAAAAGATACATGCGCCCTCACCTTTAATAATTACATCTTTCTTTTTAGTTAATTCTCATTGCGTTATTATAATTTATTAGCCTTATCGCATAATTGTCTTTACTTTCCCCGTGTCGAGTATTCCGGTGACTCCCTTCGTCACAAAAGTTTTCATGTAATTATTAAATAGAGCAAAAAATGTCTATTACTGGAGTATTATAAATGTAGTAATACTTTTATCAAAAGGCAGGGAGCCTACCTCGAAAAACAAAGGAATAGAACGTATCGTTAGATTAGCAGAGACAGCTCAACATGTTACAACGTATAAATAAAAAGTAGGCCACAGGGATAACGTCAATTAACGTAATGGATTGGGATAATAAAGAGCGGAAAATTAAAATTAACATTTAGAAATTTTACCAATGGAAAGGGGCGGCCAAGGCGCACAAGAAAAATCCAAATCATACCAACAGCCACGGACAGACTAACAATAGAGGCAGAAGTCAAGTCTTTGAGGATTGAAAAAAAGCTGTTGCATCTTCATGTACTAGACTTTGAGACTTTCAGCACGGGCTTCGTCGCCAAAATATTATATAACATCATCTGAATAAGGGTGGTGGCGAAAGTAAAGGAAAAGTGACGGACAAAAGACATATTCAAAACAAAGAAAATGTGAGTGTTGGCATCTGTACAATCTCTAACATTACAGATTACGAAATTACCAACGAAAAGGCCTCGCTGCCAAGGGCATGTTCAGCTCTAAAACTGGTGTAGAAATAAAGTAAAAAAAATTACATGTGAAAAGAAAAACTTACTTGAAAAGTGAATGGCACTTGCCTATCAGAAATGGGGCCTCAGATCAAAGTGTAGCGCTCAATCGCCGACAGGGTGCACACATGTATAGGTTGATTGTCTTTGGTGCACCTGCACTTAGTCAAGTAATCTGCAAACTGGCTGATTCGGTTTTGATTATGTTTATTGCCGACATCAAACCGTTAAGACTGAAAGAAAAGAAATTAAATGAAATAAGTTACAAAAACCAAAGTATGATATAAAAACTGGAAATAATGATAACTGAATGCAAATGCAATGAAAATATAAGCTATATATAAATAATATTGAAATTTGCGCGAAGTACATACCATAGTGTGTAAGAAAAAGGAAAGGCAGGAACGTTATCGAGATCCAGAGCCGGAGAAGGTTAAGTTAGCGTATCGCCTTGAAAAATTCCCATGACAAAACATCCCGGTGACTCCCTTCGCCACATAAGTTTTCATGTAATTATTAAACTGAGCAAAAAATGTCCCTATTTCTGTAAAATTATAAATAGTTTACCTTGTTCTGCGACCAAGAGTGCTATCGTCAGATACTGCTGTACCGTACGTTGCCGAGTATAAAAGCTAGAGTGACAGAGAAAATAGAGAGAGTAAACCTTATATATGGTGCAGTGAAGAGAACTGTTCATTGAAGGGTGTGGCAGAGGCATGTGACCGTGCGTTTGGTTTTAGTTACAACACGAGTGGTCCATTGTATGCGAAATACAAGAGTGTAATTATCTAGGCGCAGCCAAGTGGACGACGAGTAGTTGTAACTGACTTATACCCCATGGCTGATCACCAATAGTGGTCCAATTTTTTTTTTTTTTTTTTTTTTTTTTTTTTTTTTTTTTTTTTTTTTTTTTTTTTTTGCATTTGTCATTTATCCCTTCATTGGGGGGGGGGGGGTATACCCCGTAGCCAGCAATTTCAATCGTGATGGGTCTTTTTCTAAAAAAGGTGGAGTTTTTAACATGAAATCTTTGTGTCCCTAGCTCAAATTTTAACCAGAACGGACTTTTTGCGGCAAAAAAGGAACTATAGTTTGCTTGTCACTTCACGGGGAAAATTTACCCCACCGACAGTAAAATATGTATAAATAAACTATTTTCCATTCGTGGTACAAATATTGTATCATAAATGTCAAACTATCATGGAAATACAACATAATTTTCAGTCAGCAACAGAAAGACCTGTTTCCNTTAAGCTTACCAGAAGAGCACAGAGCTTCTGATCCGCAAGCTCCCCTTCCAGCGTCTGGTCCGTGAAATCGCCCAGGACTTCAAAACTGACCTGAGATTCCAGAGCTCTGCGGTTATGGCCCTGCAGGAAGCTAGCGAGGCTTACTTGGTTGGTCTTTTCGAGGACACCAACCTGTGCGCCATCCACGCCAAGCGTGTGACCATCATGCCCAAGGATATCCAGCTGGCTCGCCGTATCCGCGGAGAGCGTGCTTAACTTCAACGTTAACTCTCAACAAAACGGTCCTTTTCAGGACCACTACAAATCAGAAAAGCTAAACCATTAGTGCTTACATTGCCCGTCCTGAATTGCCAATTCGTACGTAGTTTCTTCTGAAATAAAGTTGATGATTTGCTAATCCTAACTATCCCGATGATACGTCATCATTGCGCAAACGAACTCGCATTAGTTGGTTAAAGTTAAATTTCAAGATGCCTACTCATGCACTTCATGGGAAGACGGATATACAGAGGTGCAAACATGCTCTTAACAATGATTAGTGCACAGATTGTAAACTGTGCTTGATCACTTTAGGGTCCCACGTGAAGGAGTTTGTATCAAAATTTCACTCATCTGAAACCATGAATTGTTTGATTATTTTAGGGTTCCACATGTAGAAGTATATGTCAATGTTTCACTCTCCTTGAAACATGAATTGTAAAAATGAAGTCATCGTCTAGCCCTAGAAAAGGAACGTACGCTACTATCCCGAATACAAAACGTCCTGCTGTGAAACGTTTTACTCACGTTGAAAATTCAATCATCACTGGTTCCGTTCTTTGATTTATCTCCTACAAGTATAACGTCGTAAAAATTAAAATAATGATCATGATAATCTTCTGTGTAATCGTTTTTGAGCGACTATAGTTTACTTGTCACTTCACGGGGAAAATCCACCCCACCGACAGTAAAATATGTATAAATAAACTATTTTCCATTCGTGGTACAAATATTGTATCATAAATGTCAAACTATCATGGAAATACAACATAATTTTCAGTCAGCAACAGAAAGACCTGTTTCCTATTGCACCAAGTACCTGGGTAAGACGAAACTTTCTGGCATTTTTTTCTGGCGAACATACGTTACATGTTATTAGCCATGACCTAAAGCCCCTAGAGTTACAATTTTTAAACATATTTATCAGAAAAAAACATCCTTACGTTATATATATATAATATACCATGACTGAATCACTACAAAATATACGGAAAGCGATATAAAAATTAAAATTAAATTACCCGGGACAAACATGTAGCCTACGTTCCCGGAGCGTACGTTATCAATTACGGCTCCGTACGTACATTATGTATTTAAAGACATGGTAAAAACTAAATTAAAATTGAGACAGTCGTGGAAATTTGTTCTACACACATATATATTTAATATATAAATTAATACAACTTTGAAATCATTCAATTTTATTTTTTGGACACATCAGCACGTCAAATGCACCTCTACATTGGGGTTGGGTGTTAAGTCAGTGTGTGAACTTCGTGAACACGAATGTGAAGGCATCAAGGCTCTTTAGAGGGAATTTCTCTATAGATCACATGTAACAACTCCACACTAAGTATACGTCCCCGACAGAACGTGGATTTCTTTTGCCTTTGCGAAATAATAAAAAAGGCTTTCATATGATTCCTTCATGTAATAAGCTACCGAAAAGTAGCAAATTAAGCCATTTAGGGGCAGGCCCGGAAGAAAAAGAAGAAGGATATCTTTAAAATACCACATACTCGTAGAAAGGGGCGACGAACTTTCATTTGTGACAGAAAAAAGGCATGGTCCTTTTACATAAAATAGCCTTATAATGATTTTCAAAACAGCTTTTTTTTTTTCCAAGCAAAAGATCGCATTTTTGCAACAAAGGGTAAGGGATCAGGAGATCGGGGCTAGTTGGACCCCGAGTTTAATTGGCCCCTCATTAGTTTATGAAAATTTTAAGTAATAAAAGATCATTTTAGACAATACCGACCGGGGAAATATTCACAGCGAGTAAAGGTTTTTTGTATCAACATTTTGTCGATAATTTCATAGTGCAATTTTGTTTGAATAAGCCAATTTCACAAAAAAAAGGAATTTATCGCAAAATGTAGGCTTTCATCACATAATCTACCTGTAGAGACTGGTAGGTACACAGACACAAATAAGAAATTAAGAATCTGTAAGTTATGCAATTTAAACGATGTAGAGGATGAAATTCACTTGATCCTTATAAATGCCCTCACTAAAGTACGATTAGGCAGAAATACATCAAGAAATTTTATTATACAAAGCCAAGCGTCTTTGAACTAATTAAATTATTATCACTTAACAACTTCTCACAATTAAACAACTTAGGAATACACTTAAAATGTGCATCGAAGCTAAGATTAACGTCAGTCCGATGAAATATTATTATTATTTGTATCAGTAGTAGTTGTTGTAGTAGTAGTAGTTGAGTTCATATAACTTTAAATGGTCACTGTATTACATTCTAATGAGACGTATAGGGCTCAAAGGTTAATAAATTAAATTGAATTGAAATGCGTAAAATACATTTATAGATTACAATTACGTGTGATGAATAAGCTACCTAAAAGTCTGAAAGTAGCATTACGTGTAACCACTGCCCGCGTTTAAAAACGTTTTCGAAATTTAGCAATTAAGCCGTGGATGTCTTTAAAATACCACATAATTCGTAGAAAGAAGTGTTGATTTTTTGTGTCGAATTGTGTGATCGATTTCATGGTCTGATTTCAACATTAAGCATTTCCTTGCAATTCCCGCGGCTCCAGTGCATGTGAGTGTAACCTTTATTAAAAAATTAAAAAAAAAGACAGATCCCTTTAAACAAATGAGTGCCTATAAGTATGTAATATTGTGCTTCACAAATCATTCTTATTTAACTCCTGGGACGACAATAAAATCCACTGTTTACTCAGATGTGCAATAATAATAATAATAATAATAATAATAATAATAATTGAAATGCGTAAAATACATTTATAGATTACAATTAAGTGTGATGAATAAGCTACCTAAAAGTCTGAAAGTAGCATCACGTGTAACCACTGTCCGCGTTTTAAAACGTTTTCGAAATTTAGCAATTAAGCCGTGGATGTCTTTAAAATACCACTGTTTACTCAGATGTGCAATAATAATAATAATAATAATAATAAAAAATAAATAATAAAGTTTTGATTTGAAACTTGTATGTTTTCAAGACAGAAAAGCTTGACTTGTACATGGTATTATGACAGTTAGTTCCGTTATCTCATTGAGGAAGTCTTTCATTGAAAATATCGCAGCTTATATTATCCTATTTATATTTTCACATTTGATATAAATGTGTTTCTTAAAAACGACTGCCTTCTATGTATAGGTAGCCCAATTATGAGGATTGATTTGCGCCTTTTTTAATATGTCAGATTGTATGTGTAGGGGAAAAAACAAACTATAGCTACTGATGACTGTTTTATCACATTTTATTTCACGTATTACACCCATTCTCAATAAAGAGGTCTGCAACTTATTAAGAAGCGAGTATTATGTTTAACGTCTCAGTTAATGTCCATAATGTTTCTTTTGAATGACTCAATAAAAAGCTTGGTGTGAAAATTAATTCATAATGAACTTCACTGGCGTAGCTTTTCTATGAATATGTGGTTGGTCCTGAAAAGGCCCGTTTGTTGTAAATATGCAAACAGCAATTTACTTGGCAGCTGCAGTAGAATGAGCAGAGCTAGTTGATCAGACTAAAATTTTTCTGCTTCACTATTTAGCATAGTGCTTTCTGTAGTTATTCTCACCTAAAAAAATTCATTCAACTAAAATGCTCTCTTTCTGAAGCAAGGTTCACTCGTTAATTGTCATGTATTACACTGCTGATGCACACACTTTTTATTTTCATATAGTATGTTGACAAATGCATTTAAATTACGTGAAATTACTGTGTATCCTGGAGTTATTTATTTATTTGTTAACAGCCACAGGATATTGGAGCTGCCATGGTTTTAGCAAAGCACAGCACACTAGGCTAGGCAGTAAGAAAAAAAAAATTTTCATTTGGACCTGTTGACATTTGCGGCAGATAAAAAATTATTTAAAAAAAAATCTCCCTTAAAAATAAAGTGCCTTAAACATACACTTCAGCATTGTTGACAATATTATATATAAAATCTACAACTACAAAGACAAATTTTAAAGTAAGAATTAGANAAAACCTATACATCATCACCAAATCATTCAAGTTATTCGTACTCCGAACGAACGACAGATATCTCAACAATGGCTCGTACCAAGCAAACCGCACGTAAATCTACTGGTGGCAAGGCCCCAAGGAAGCAGCTTCCACCGGTGGTGTGAAGAAACCTCACCGTTACAGGCCCGGTACCGTGGCTCTCCGTGAAATCCGTCGTTACCAGAAGAGCAAAGAGCTTCTGATCCGCAAGCTCCCCTTCCAGCGTCTGGTCCGTGAAATCGCCCAGGACTTCAAAACTGACCTGAGATTCCAGAGCTCTGCTGTCATGGCCCTGCAGGAAGCCAGCGAGGCTTACTTGGTTGGTCTTTTCGAGGACACCAACCTGTGCGCCATCCACGCCAAGCGTGTGACCATCATGCCCAAGGATATCCAGCTGGCTCGCCGTATCCGCGGAGAGCGTGCTTAACTTCAACGTTAACTCTCAACAAAACGGTCCTTTTCAGGACCACTACAAATCAGAAAAGCTAAACCATTAGTGCTTACATTGCCCGTCCTGAATTGCCAATTCGTACGTAGTTTCCTTTCAAGATGCCTACTCATGCACTTCATGGGAAGACGGATATACAGAGGTGCAAACATGCTCTTAAAGGGATAATAACTCTTTGTATGAGATCTATATTTCACAATAAAAACATTGTGAATAACTCATAGAAATATAATATATTCTGTTTTACCACAAAAATGGCAGTTATAGCTATTATTCTGATGTCTGAGCTTGTCTTTAGACCACGTGACCTCCATTGATGGCTATACTCTGTTAAAATCTCTTAAGAGATTTTAACAAAAAACCAAACTTTTTAGAAAAAAACCAGGGACTAACTTTGAATGTAAAAATGGATTCATTAACCATTGGTAAGTATGGGGAAATTGTTGTTTACTCCAGGAAAATTCATTTTTTAGCTGAAATGAAGAGTTATTATCCCTTTAACAATGATTAGTGCACAGATTGTAAACTGTGCTTGATCACTTTAGGGTCCCACGTGAAGGAGTTTGTATCAAAATTTCACTCATCTGAAACCATGAATT